GTACTGTACCACTGATCATATACTGTACATCTGGATCCCCAGTTATTAATCCTCCTCCAGCTATGTTATATATTTCTCAAGAACATTATATTTCCACATTTTACACATTAATACAAATTTAGGTATACAGTATACAAGAAATGTATTCTTAGGTAATCTTTGAACATAATTCTTAAATAACTAGCCATTTAAAGCATATCTGTCAACTGTTCCACCATACAGATCATCTACCTCATGTCATGCAGGTTGACCTGGGATGAATTTCTGCTCTTGACTGTTCATTATAGGAGTACTGTACAGATATAACTCACAGGGGTCACTTGCCCAATCCCTTATTTCCCATTACACTCAACCCTTGTAGAACATACACCCCACAGTTGGCAAGGGATTACTGTACTTTTACTTTTTGCTTTTATCCTCTTTGCCACTGATCGGCTCTTTAGCCGCTTGGGCGGTCGGTCATGTCTCTGTTACGTGCTGTTGACAAGTACTGGGCATGAACTGGCTCTTGAATATATTGGAACCTGCTCCAGTGTCGGTCAAGTCTGGCCTTGAATGAGCTCACACTCGGTGCCATCACAACACAATTCTCACTCCAAAATGTTTGCCCTCATAGTTTTCTGAACTTGTGGTTTCTTAACCTTGAGTGTGACCCCTTGTGGGGAGGGCATCCTCCAGCTCAATTAGGTTGCCTCTCACCAGTCTGTAGTATAAGCCTGCTCCGTAGAGCAGGCACCACTCTGGTGGCCCACCTTTGGACATTTTCAAACAACTGACAATCTCAAGCACACCTCGGGGACCAAGCGGGGTGACAGTACTCCAGGCGGGGAAGCACCTCACTCTTGAAGATTGTGACGAGTGACGGACCATCCAGATATCTAAACAACCTTCTTATAAGACCTACTAGTTTTGTTGCCTGATTCACCTTATTCTCACACCCAGGTCCTTTTTCAGTCTCAATTAATACAGTTTCTCCATCCCTTTGGGACATATGATACGTCTCCTTCCTGTTGGTACGCCCCAGGTGCAGCCTCTTGCACTTCGTGACATTGAATCTTAGCAGCCATTTGCTCGACCACCATTCTTGAAGCTCACAGAGATCCTTCTGCAGTTCTTCACAGTCTGCTTGGTTTTTAATTTCCCGAAATAATTTGGCATCATCCGCAGACATTTGTATGGAGGAGTGTACAACTTCTGGATTAATGAAGCAAACAAACAACAAAGGACCCAATACACTGCCATGTGATACCCCGCTTGTCATGGGTACACATAATGATTTCGTGCCATTAACCACCACACACTGCTTGCAGTTATGCAGAAAGTCATCTATCCACGCTAGGACACTTCCTCGAATCCCGTACCCTTCCAATTTAATTCTCAGCCTTTCATGAGGTACGCTGTCGAAAGTCTTGGCAAAATATAGGTATATATGGTCGATATTTCAACCTTGTACTGTACTGTACTGTATATTGTATTAATAATTACAGTACAATGAGGAGTAGATCTTTAAGGAAAGTTTTACGTATATGAAAAAAATCTCCATCAAAGAACTGAAAAACTATACACAACTGGCTGGATTAATGCTGAAACCTGTCTGTTTAATACTTATAAAACCCTCAGTTTCCCTGGTCTCCTACTGCTGAATTCTGATGTACTTCAATGAACCAGGTTATGATGTAGAGTAGCTAAAACTATCTGTGCAGATGGGGATCGATATGTGTGACTAGTGACAGCCCTCATACACCAAAATTTATCATCCATGGTCTCATATTGTTTCCCACAAAGTATACACAGATAGTTGTTTTAGCTACTGTACCGTACACTACACTAGTTCTATGTCACTAGTACCTCTATTATAGATGATACTGGCAGTTATAAACAACAGTAATACAGTATACAGGTAATGTAATTTCTATAAAGATGTTCCCAATATGACAAAGTTTAGTGAACCATTATTACTATAGTTTAATGTAAGGTACAGCAACTGTTATAAAGGATAATGAAATGCATCATTAGCTGTACATCAGATCCAGGAAGAGACAGGTAGGCGAGACTCAACCTGGCTGGCACAGGAAACACAGCCCACCACACCCTCACCTCACCTTACCATCCACATGAAAGTACAGATACAGTTCCAGTACATAATAATATAAAGTAGAAGAACAGTACAGTTACATGAAATACAGGAAGAAAGAACAATGAAAGGGATAATTATTTTCATATGAGCCATAGAGTCTGGTCTGGCTGCTAGTACCTCTCAGACTGTTGCTGCCAAACTACACCTGGAAAAACAAAAAAACAAAAATGCAAAATTCCTGACAAATATCTCTATAAAAATCATGAAATATTTTGTGATTCCTGAGCTGTTGAAGTCTAAACTGTTACCACAAGAGTCACACTGTCTCCCCAGATCCTGTAACCACAGTCTGTACGGTATTACACCCAGAAACACTGCCGCCACTTGGGTAACAGAATAATAAATATATAACTGAAAGCGGAAACATA